GAAAAACATGAAACTTAGACAAAGGTTCGTGTTGTAATTTGGCAGGTCCTTTACACTTTGTGAAGTTTCATTCATGATGTTAAAAAGATATTAAGTAATTCCTAGAATTCCAGAAATGGAATAGGATTTAAAGATAATCTGTTCCAGACTTTCTCAGTTCAAATTGTACTTTTGAGTCTCCCTGTATGACCTTGGGCAAGTCACTTTACTTCCCTAGACCCCTGTATCCTCATGTAAAACAAGAGGTTTGAACTAAATACCCCCAGAGGTCCCCTCTAGCCCTAGATCTATAAGTCTACCATCTTTACCCAAAACATGAATCTTGTCTATGCCCAACAAGCCAAGGTCAAAGATCTCATATGTTGGGGAATTCTTTATCTCACAGGCATTCCATTCCATTTCTTTTTTGTTGTTGTTGTTTTTTCTTTCTTTCTTTCTTTTCTCCCTCCCCCACCCCCTTCAGCTCTCATTGTTAAGTAATTTTGCTTTATATTGAGCTAAATATGTCTCCCAGAAATTTATAGCTAATGGTCCTAATTCTGTCTTCCAGAACAGAAGACCCAGTCAACCCCCTTCCAACCTTCAAATGTCAAAAGAAAGTAATCCTGACCCCTCCTCCCAATTCTCTTGGCTAAATATTCCCAGACCCTTCAACCAGTCTTCATATGATGTGGTTTCTAGTTTCTCCTCACAATCAAAATCTGGAAAGAATTCCCAAGTTCTCCAGATCCCCTCTTTGTCAGTAATGAGAATGGAGTTAATGCTGGAGGCATGAATATGAGCCTGTATAAATTCTTAAGGACTTTATGAAAGTTTTTGGTTTGATTGTGACCTACATAGCAGGATTACGATATGAGCTGCTTTATTAAAGCAGTCTACCTGGCTCATTTGTGCTTCAGAGATGTAGATGATAGATATTCATTGCTTTTCTGTAATCCCTTGATTGATGCATTGTTCTCATTGAACTGGTTGTGGTAGAATCAGTTTTCAGTACCCCTACTGCTTATGTAAACAGCTTAATAGATGCTCACCCACTCAATGTTCATGTGGGTATCTGCTGCAGGGATTTGAGATTTCTCTGGAATTCTTCATGAGTCTTTATTCACTAGAAGTTTCAAAATAATGTCTAATTGTGCTCAATCATAAAATGCCAAATTACTCTGCTTGCATTGCCAAAGAGAACTTGGAGCATAGCATCATATAACTTCAGCAGTCTTCAAGATGACCTTGAACGAGACACTTAACCTTTCTAAACCTCCGTTTTCTCACCTGGAAGTGAGAACTAATAGTGCTTTTACTAGTGTTTTCAGAAGGTTTTTGTGAAGAAGGATCATATGTAACCCTTGAAATATTATATTAATGTTAGTTATCTTTACTGCTATTGACATCCCACTAACCTGATTGAAATCAGATAAGCAAAGAAATTTCACTTTGGTTTTTATTGTTTTGTTTTCTTTTGTTTTATTGAAAGATAGTAGTGATTATGAGTGACTTCTTATTGGGAAACATTGACCTATGACCTCTTTGTTATTTTCCATGTTTGTTATACCACCACATATACTCCCCTAGATGACTGTATTCTGAAGAATCCATCCCTGGGTGTAGAACATCCTCTACCCTCATAAGATCAAGAGACTAACATTCATCCAGCTAAATGGATTTCTCATGTTTTTGTTTCATTTATTTTAACTCACTTTAAGTTTTCTTTATGACTTTTGTTTTTATTTTCACCTCATGCTCATTTCTAGATATCCCTTACCTGCTCCAACGGTGAGCTTTCCTTATTAACAAAGAAAGACAGTTAAGTAAAACTAGTTGACATAGTGACTGCATCTGAAAGTACATACAGCACCACAAAGCAGGGTCCCTTAGCAAAAAGAGGGTGATACATTGCCTCATCTCTGGGGCCAAGATTAATCAGTAGAGTTACAGAGCATTCAGCTTTGTTTTATTATTTTCATTATTATGGTAATGGTGTATAATGTTTTCCCAGTTCTACTTACTTAACTCTGTATCAGTTCATACAAGCCTATGTGTATTTTATCTGAATTCATACTATCCATTGCTTCCTGTGGCACAGTGGTATTCCTTGTGCCACAATTTATTCAGCCACTCTCCAAATGATGGAGATTTTCTAGATGACTAGTTAGAAGGATGAAAATGAAGAGGAAAGAGCCATGGGAGATGGTGACTGATTTCTGGCATAAAAACTATAGAAAGTCAATGTAGTTTGTGAATAACCTTAGAACAAGGAATTAAATAAATATGAAATATAATTATTAGCACTTATTGCCATATATACTTATTTGATCCCATGCCAAAAAAGCTAAATAATTTTTTTTTGCAAAATGGATAATTTTGTCTATTCAGTATTTGGTTTATTTAAGATAATAATGTTATAGATTTAGAGCTAGAAGGGACCTAAAAGATCTTATAGTCCAACCTTGTCATTTTATAAGTAAGAAAACTGAGGCCCAGAGAAAATTGGACTTGCGAAAGGACACATAGGTGGTAAGAAATAATGGTGGAATTCAAAACCATGGTCACTGACTTCAAAGATTTTACTGTTCTATTGCATTGCTTCACTTACTTGTCAATGAGTACATTCTTCTTACAAGAAACTGCAGATATACACTTAGTTCTTAATCAGTTCTTAATTATCCTTAGATGATATCAGTGTCATGGATAGTTCAAAACAGTTTGCCATCCAAAAGTCATTTACAATTGATGAGAGAACTTGGAACCATGTCAAATGAGAAAAGATTGAAAGACCTGAAGATATTTAGGTTTATAAAGAGGAAACCTGGATCGACTGGGGACGAAGATGTACAGGATATGATCTCTGTCTTCAACTGTCAATCTTATAATTCCATATGTTGGAAGGTCTGTCATGTAGCAGAGGGACTAGAAATATTGGAGGTTGGAGAGGAGATTCAGATCATATAATTAGAATTAATGGAAATCAGTTATAAGGAATTGATTTTCATTCATGTAAGAAGAAACTTCCTAACAATTACAGCAATCCTAAAACAGGGTCAGCTAGGTGGCACAGTAGATAGAACATCGGGCCTAGAGTCAGGAAGACTCATCTTCTTGAGTGCAAATCTGGCCTCAGACACTTACTAGCTGTGTGACCCTGAGGCAACTGATTGCCTCAGTTTCTTCATCTGTAAAATGAGCAGGAGAAGGAAATGGCAGATCACTCCAGTATCTCTGCCAAGAAAACCCTAAATAGGGTCACAAAGAGTCAGACACAACTGAAACAACTAAAAACAACAAAAACAGAATAAGAAAACAAATCTTTTAGAGGTATATAAACCAAGGTTTGTTACGGGTATTGTAGAGATGTTCTCTGTGTCAGATACGTGTTGGACCAAATGGAGGAAGCAGGTGTAGTTCTTATGGAACTTGACTTGGAATCAGAAAGTCTTAGGGCTCAATAATTTCCTTGGTTGCTCATTTAATCTCTCTGTGCCTCAGTTTTTTCATCTGTAAAATGAGGTTAGACTTGACCTCTTAAGTCTCTTCCAGCTTTAAATCTATAACCCTTTGATCCTGTGAAGTTGAGTCAGAGGTCCTTTCCCACCTTCCCACAGTGGGATTCTATATCATGATCAACAAGCATTTGTTAAATTCTTACTATGTACCAGGCATCGTGCTAAACACTGGAGATACAAAGACTATAATATAGTATCAGTTAACCAATGTATCAATTTAGTAACTTATTATTTACATTTTTAGACACGTAATCTAACCAGTGGTCCACCTTCACCCAGCGGTTTAGGAGGTTGAGATGATCCGAGATCATGTTGAATAGTGGGTTTCATAATGACTTTCAGATAAATCCACCAAATGGATACCTAAACTGATGGCATTACTACGTTATGTGTGCCAGAAGTTTATACTTTGAAGCTGCTCAGATTCCATAGAATTACACTTGCAAAAAAGTACACCTTAGCCTTCATGTTATTTTTTGCTTAAAAAACATCTTTGCCCTCTGAAAGAAAGGTGATGGTTATCTCCTTGTTATTTACGGAAAAATATCTTGCTGATGCATCAGAACTTGTAGTTTTTTGAGCAGTAAGACTTTATAATCATATTTTCACCCTTCACGGATGAAGTCATCTGTGTTTTTTCCTGTTTTTCCTGTTTCTGGTTTATTCAGGTGGTGCCTAAGCATACATATGGTTTAAACCCCAAATTTTTAAGCTTCTCTAAAAAAATACAACTTAAACATTCATTTTAAAATTTTCCCATATGGCAATGCCATTTGGAGGTCATTGCAAAGAATAAGCAACATAAACCACTCAAGTAAATTTACTTTAGATGTGAGCAAAACTAAGTTTTGATATATTTAAATCACTACAAACCACAATTGCATGAATTGTTACAAACTACAAGCTATTTAAAATTTAAGCTCTGACATTGCACTATATAAATGTTTCAAAAAGCCCAGAAGTTTTCCAGACTTTCATTCCTAGCTAATGTTTTCTTTAAAATAGAATCAGTAGCCATGTTGTAATGTAGCTCTTTCTACTTAAGATCTAAATGTGTTCCAGAGCAAGTCATTTAACTTTTCTCAGTCTCAGTTTTCCTGTCTATAAAATGGGGGGGGTAACAATATCACCTACTTCACAGAGTTGTTGTGAGGACAAATGACATTCCATATGAAATGGGCTTTGAAAACCTCAAAGTGCTATATAAATAGTGACTGTTGTTATTTAAGAACTACATATCATTTTCTTGAAAGAAATGAACTCTAGGTGATTAATGTTCTTAAATTAATGTACTCTAACCCAGCCTCATATTCAGGGAAGTTTTGTTTTTTGTTTAAAATAGATGTGATAATGTTGGACATCAGTGGGAGGTTTCCAAAATAACACCAGAGAGAAGTGATAAGACACTTTAATTGATTTCTAAATAGAGATGGATAGCATGCAAAACACCTCATCAGGTGAAGTCCCATTGTCTTACCTTTTTTTTTTCTTTGCCATCCACAGCATGCAATGCCATTTTGGAGGATCTCAAGTCACTCTGACCTTATGGCTCTTCATCATGCCTTAGAACTGGAGTACCTGTAGCAGCCTGAGAGCACTTTGAAATTCCCCCACACCCTTATGTCCATGGACCGTATACAGGAGGCCTGTATCTTGTGACAGCATTGGACTACAGAAATTCGTGGTCTCCACATGCAGATACGCAGCTGCAAGTGGTCTTAACCTATGCCCTTTCAGTAAACGGAGGACCATGCCTTTTCCTTCAGAACAGCTGTCGATTCTAGTACTGTGAATCCAATGGGAAAAAGACAAAAGCCATGCGAATGTCCTAACCATGTGTCTCTGCCACATTAGCTACACGGTTCAAACCTGTGAAGGAAGAAAGACCCTTAAAATGCTTTGATTCGTAGCATCTTCAGTGTGACAGAAACTGCTTCTTCAGTACAGCAAACTTGATTGCACAATGAAGACTGGGATTGCTTTGTTTTGTTTTTTCCTTTCTCAATACCAATGGAGTAATTTTCTTGTAAAGAAGGTTGACTTTGGGGTGTCTCCTACCCAGGGTACTCTGTACATCTCTACTTATTTATGAACAGACTGTGTTTCTGACATCAAGTAAATGGAAGGACGTTTGATAGGAGTTAGGTGCTTTCTGACCTCAGCCTTCTGATAGACACAGCAAGTACTTGGATTTTAGCACATTGCGAAGTAGATTAAAGTATGTCTAATTTAAACAGATGTGTACATCACTGAGACAATCATGTACAGGAAGAATTTTTTGTGTAAATTTGTAATAATGGATGATTCTTTTACATATTGTTTAGGGAGATGCTATTGAAAGGTAGAAATGCCTTGTTAGTGAAATATAAGAGGCATCATGGGCACAATGTCTCATGATGCACCTTATTCAAAGGGTTGGCTATAAATATGTAGATAATGGATTTTTTTAGATAAATTTGTCAAGACCAAAAGCATGGATGTCAAGTGTCAATCAGGATTTTCTTTTTTTTTCTAGCTGTTTTCTTTCCCTCGGTTCTTCTGCGTAAATGAAAAAGGCCTATTAGGACATCATTATTAATAGCAACATGCCCACAGCACCTCCTCCCCCTGAAGTTTCTCAAAAGAGTTGAATAAGGAAACCCAATACCTCCCTTTTTCAATTTTAGCACTAATGTATTATATGTAGCTACTTGAAAAAAAATAATCAAATGCCTCATCCCACAGAAAGAATGTAGAAGCTGGATATATTTTATTAAAATGGTTTATGGGTTGGAGTCCATCAAAATTTTCATGTAATCAGAAAATCAAAATCATTCTAGTGTCTGCATTGTTTTGTTAAGGAAGGAAGGGAAATACCATAGTTCTATGGAATTGAGCAAAAATCCATACCCAATCCTTACATTTTCCTTCTTTTCCTTTTCTTTTCTTCTCTCTCCTCTCTTCTCTTCTTCTGCTCTCTTCTCTTCTCCCTTCTTTTTTCTCCTCCCCTTACCTCTCTTCCTCTCTCTTTTTTCTCTTCTCTTTTTTTGTTGCACCGTTTTCCAGAAGTAACTACACAACAAAATTGTTTTCACCAAGAAACTGACATTTCTATCTACATTGGGGATAAACATACATCTAGGAAGTAGGGGCTGTCATATTTCTCTACCTGGAAGGCAATTTCTGTGTTAGAGTATTCATTTTATCAGTAGACCCCTTTTCTTGATGTGTTTCTTACCCTTTTCCTCAAATCACTCTATTGAGGAATTCATCTCCTCTAACTCCTTGAAAAAAAGCACCAGCTAACCAGGGAAGCTAAAGAGCACCTCCATCCACTTACTGAGGATTCATATTGCTGCTACTAGAATTAGTCATTTGTGAATTTCCCAAATTGTTTAATTACCAACCATAATAGACTTTTTTTTTGCCTAAAACAAAGAAAGATTGACAGAATTTTTTTTTGTCTTGCCTTTTCTTTTCATGTTTCTGTAATCAGTATGCAGACTGGGGGAAAACATTTCTTTTTCTTTTTTTCCTGGGCCTTACTGTACTAAAAAAAAAAAAAGGTGTGTTGTGTCCACAATTGTGTACAGGATTTTTCTTCATTTATTTTGTGTTTAAATTAATAAAATTGATTTGTGAAATATTGAACACTTCCTCTTGGATTTGTGTCTTTTATATTTATATGCGCCCCCCAGTAGGTTCTTGATACAGCAGGATTTAGATGATCTTTAAAGCTGGATGCTTCCTCTTCTGCCCTGACAAGGGAAACTATTAAAAAAAATTGTAGTTATGATTTAAAAATCCCATATGGATATAAACCATAAAGCAAGTAGCTATTACTTTTGTCAGTAGGAATGAGTGAAGAGACCCAGAGTAGTGAATGCACCAGAAATGATTCCACATGCTTACCTTGTCACCATGGAAAATATATAAAGTGACCTCACTATAGCATTATAAGATACCACTTTCTGCTCTAGAGTACAATTCATTTGTTCAGCAAATATCTATTAAGTACTCATTTGGTACAAGGTCCAATTATAGGGGATACAAAAGGAATAAGACAAAATCTCCTCATCCTTGTGCAGCTTATGCCCTTGTAGAGGAGATAAGATGTATACACATATAATTATAGTGCAAAATATAATGTGAAAAAGCAATTGGAGGAGAGTATCATGTGTGTAAGATGGACAGATCACTTCCAAATGAGGGGCATCAGACAGACTTCACATAGATCACATGTGAGTAGACATTGGAGAGACTGAGGTGAAAGAAGGAGGACATTCCAGATGGAGGGAACAGCATTAGTAAAGTAAAGGACGCATTCAGGGAAGAGAGAGTTGTCCAGTTTAGGTGAACCATGGATAAAGAGAAATAGTAGGAATTAAGATTAGACAGGCAAATTAGAATTAGATTGCAGAATATCAGTCTAAGATGTTATAACAACTAAAGGTTCTTGAGAAGGCTCAGGAGGGTAATATAATGAAAACTTTATTTTAGGAATATGAAACTGGAATCATTATATAGGATAAGCCAAAGGGAAACGAAACTGGAGGTACAGAAACCAGTTTGAAGTTGGTTGCAATAATCTAGGTAAGAGGTGATAAATTAAGGTTATGGCAGTGAGAGTGAAAAACCATTGAAAGTATATAATTGACTTAGCAATGAATTAGATGGGGGTGATGAGTATGTGAGAAGTCAAGACAACTCCAAGGTTTTAAATGTGAGTTAGAGTGGGGCAGCTAGGTGGCGCAGTGGATAGAGCACTCTAGTGCTCTATCCACTAGAGAATCAGGAGGACCTGAGTTCAAATCCGGCCTCAGACCAAACACTTGGCACTTACTAGCTCTGTGACCCTGGGCAAGTCACTTAACCCCAATTGCCTAAAAATAAAAATAGAAAATAAAAATTAAATGTGAGTTAGAGTGAAGATGATGATGCCATGAATAGAACTGGGAATGTCAGAAGTGGAAGCAGTTTGGAAGAAAAAAGACAAGGTCAGTTTTTGGGGGACATACTGAGTTTGAGGTACGAGCAGCATGGGCAGCTAAGTGGCTCAGTGGCTAAAGCACTAGGCATGGAGTTGGGAAGACCTGAGTTCAAATCCAGCTTCATATATGCACTAGCTGTACAATTGTTGAACAAGTCACTTAACCCTGTTTGCCTCAATTCCTTAACTGTAAAATGAGGTGGAGAAGGAAATGGCAAACCACCCCAGTGTCTTTGCCAAGAAAACCCCAAATGGGAGCACAAAAAGTCAGGCACACCTGAAACAACCAAATAGCAACAACTCTCAGTAGCATATCTAGGTAGAGTCCTATATGTACACAGTTTTGGGGCAGCTAGGTAGTATAGCAGATAGAGCACTGGACCTAGAATCAGGAAGACATAAGTCCCAATCCTGCTTCCAATGTTTCTTAGCTTTGTGAACTCTGGAATCACTTAACCTCTGTCTCAGTTGCCTTCTCTACCAAATGGGAATAATAGCACTTACCTTCCAGGATTGTAATGATAAAATGAAATAATATTTATAAAGCACTTTCTAAAACTATACAAATCAAAAAATATAAATGCTAGCTGTTATTATTGTTAAAATATAAGGTGTGGGGGTCAAAGTCTTCAGACAATGGAATTTAGTTATGGAAATGACAAAAAGTCCTTAATGCAAAAGTTTGATGCTGTGGTAATGAGTCTCCACAGCATTTTGTGACAACCTTTCTTTAGCCATCTTGAGCACTGAGATAATCCCAATGTATTTCCAGATAGCACAACACAGACTTTAAAACTGCACTCATTTATACAGATGTGTAAAAATATTGTCTCAGAGTATGAAAGTCAGTAATAAGACCAAGTAAATTAATTTATCATAGGATATTGGGGTATGTGATGGAGTATTTTAACTTATGATAGGTTCGGTGACTGAGAAGGGACTAGGAAAAGTTACTGCTCTGGTCCAATCATTCTGGAAAGTAATTTGGAATTATGAATCCCAAAGCTAATAAATTACAGATACTCTTTGACCCAGTTATACTGCTACCAAGTCTATACCCTAAAGAGATCAAAGAAAGAAGAACAGGATCCATTTGTATAAAAATATTGGTAGCAGCCCTCAGGCAACTAGGAGGCACAGTGGATAAAATGCTAGTCATGGAATCAGGAAGACCTGAGTTCAAACAGCTTTCAGACAGTTCCTAACTGTATGACCTTTTGCAAGTCACTTAGACTCTGTTGCCTCAGTTTCCTCAACTGTAAAGTGGAGATAATAATAGCACCAGGGTTGTTGTGAGGTTTAAATGAGATATTTATAAAGTACTTAGCACAGTAGATGCTGTACAAATGCTGTTATTATTATTTTAGCAAAAATTGGAAACTAAAAGAATGCCCATCAATTAAGGAAAGGCTAAAAAAGTTACAGTAGATGAAAATGATGGAATACTATTGCTCTATAACAAATGATGAAAGGTATGGTTTCAGAAAAACCTAGGAAGACTTCTATGAACTGATGCAGAGTGAAAGGAGCAGAACCAAGAGAATAATTATACAAAGATAATAGAAGTGTAAGGACTCTGGACAACACAATGACCCACCACAGTTCCAAAAGACTCGCAACCAATCATGCCAGTCACCTCCAGATAGAGAAGTGATACACTCAGAGTGCAGATTTAAGCAGATTTTCATCTTTTTTTTCTTTCTTTTTGGACACTGCTAATGTGGGAATTTGTTTTACTTGAGTATTATTTATAATATACTATTCTATTTGTAATGAGTAAAAAAATTTAATTTTATATTAATTTTTTATAAAGAAAAGAAAGTTACAGTGCCCTTCCAGGATATTCTAAAAGGTAGGTCTTCATGAAGGTGGGATTTCAGACTATTTAAATGATAAAGAAAAAAAAATATTTATCAATATGAGAAATGGAAAGCATTTTGAAAAGTATCATTCAAATAATTTTCCTAAAATATTAATATTATCATGTCAACCTTAATATTATCATGTCAACCTTATGTTCAAAAACCCCCAATAACTTCTACTGTCCCCAAAACAAAAGTCCAAATTCCTTTGTCTGGCATTCAAGGCTTGCCACAATATGGCCCCAACCTGCCTTTCCAGTTTTAAGTCATTATTCCTTTACACAATTCCTCCTTTACATATAGACTGCTTGCTAGTAACTCTCTCCCAAACATTCTCCACTCCATATCTATATTCATGCAGAAATCTCTTCCTGGAATGCTCTTCGCCTTCCTCCACACATCTAAACCCTACTTATCCTTCAAGTTCTATCCGCAGCCTCACCTTATTTATGACTCCTTCTCTGACAACTAAGCTCACAGTTTCTCTGATGGATGCTAGAGAGTCAATGTGGAATAGCGGATAGAGAGCTAGAAAGATCTGGTGATCAGAAAGATCTGGATTGAAATCCCACCTCAACGCATACTGTTTGTGTGACCCTAGGGCTTCCAGCAACTCTTCAAGACCAAAACTTGTAGGGCATTTGCCCATCTTCATTGGTCAGAGAAGTTCATCACTGGGGCTTCCAACCTCAATGAAGTCATAGGGAAAGAAAGAAAGAAAAGAAGGAAGGAAGGAAGGAAGGAAGGAAGGAAGGAAGGAAGGAAGGAAGGAAGGAAGGAAGGAAGGAAGGAAGGAAGGAAGGAAGAAAGGAAGGAAGGAAGGAAGGAAGAAAGGAGAGAGAGGGAAGGAGGGAGGGAGAGAGGGATGATGGGACAGAGGAAGGGAGGGAGGGAGGAAGGAAAAGACATATAACTAGATGAATGAATGAATGAATGAAAGAAAAATTAATGAATGAATAAATAATAAATAGTGGTTAACTTTCCATATCTAAGTACCTATATCTCCCAACTATAATTTAAACTGCTTGAGGACCAGGGCCAGCTTTTCCTCATCTTTGTATCCACAAAACACCTTATAGTGGCTTTAAAAAAAACCAGAAGTATAATTATCTGTTGATTGATCTTTGGGTCAGGATAAAACTTAAGGTTAGATGAACTGGAAAAGTGTTCATTTACCTGTGAGAAGCAGACATGTGGTTGTCTAGAAGGTAGTGGGAGGTGTTGCAATTCAATCCATTGAATATTTATTAATGAATGCATGAATAAAAAATAATAATTGCCTATCAGCTGCAAAGCATTGTACTCAGTGCTTGGGATACAAATAGAGAAACAAGGTAGTCTCTGCTTTAAAGAGATCACATCATAATAGAGGCAAACAGCACATATAGAAAGTTTCATATCTAAGGCTTAGGGACGTTAAGGTTCCAAAGCAAGGCAGGTGGGTACCACAAGCAGTCAAGCCCTACAGCACCTTACAGAAGCAATTCCCATATTACATCTCCTCAAGAGCAGCTGTCCTGGGTGATAGCTGAATGGGCTGAACTGGAAGCAGAGCTATTAGCCTGGAGGCTTACAGTCTTGAAGAAAAATATGACACATACCCAGATAAATATAGTACAAACTGTTATAAGTGTATCAGAAAGGTGCAAGAAAAGTACTTCATGAATTTCAGAAGAGGAAAATATCAGTGATGAGTGAGAGATGATCTGACTTCCCTTCCCTTCCCAAGCTAGCTCTTAAAGGAAGGGTAAAAATTCAACAGATTGAGACATGAAGAGAATGTTCTGGGATTGGAGCAA